GACCTACTCTCTAAAATATAATCAAACACCTCCTGTTTACCATATTGGGTACAGAGCTTCACCTAAGCTGTGCCAACTACATTTGTATATGAACTTTCTGATCGTTAGTCCTAAGTAATCTTAGCAGTTATTGTGTCATTGAGCAAGGAACTCTACCCTTGTTGTCTAAGTAGATCTTTTTTAGAATGGTCGATATGGTCAATGGTGGTTTTTACGAATAGAGCGATATAGCTTTGAAGTGTGTATTAAGTCCGGCAGTATAAGGCAATGGTACGTGTAATACGGACCCATAGCGATCTGCACCTATACAAACCGCAGCAGCAACAAGCATATACTTTCACACTTTCCTAAAACTGCCTTAAGGATCCTGTCTAATTGCGAGTAAAACATTAGTGAATTCAACAGTGTTTATCATGCAAATTATATACAGTAACCTTTCTTTAATTTCGTTTTGAATTATAGCACAACTTGGCAAGGACAATAGCCTTGTGGGTTTGAACGAGAGTGTATCAATATGAGGTCCAGGGTTCAATTCCTTGCACCGCCCCGCTGATTTTTTTTATACTTAGAACACTGTTGTTGATTTTGTTTCTAATAATTCAGCCAGCTATTTTTTCATAAAAGTCCCGCAAAGGAGGAGTTTCTTTTAGGAATTATATATCAAAGCTATGCCGAAAAACATGAATTTCCATGAGATAAAGTATGGCACTATTTCACAAAACTGATAATAGGAACATCCACCAACTCTACATACTATACAGAACGTAGTTGAACGCATCCTTAAATAAAAGTCAACCAGAAAACATGGAAAGGTTCAAATTACCAGTTATTCATTAATGGCCAATTTTCTTTTTGTGCAAATTAATTAATTTGATCATTAATTAGACTAAAAACTCTATCTCAAAGGCGCTAACTACAAAACGGAACGTCAACAGCTAACGATGCGCCATTCACGCCAAAATATATCTACAGCAAGCATAGTATACATAATTCAACACCTAATTTTCTTTGTCTAATTAATGGAAACGGTGAGTTGACGGTCATGTATAATGTACTGGCCCATTAATGATTAGCTACGACGCCTTCAACCAAGGCTGTAGTATCAAGCCATTCCCAACTAGTGTTCGTTTAACATTATACTCGGGAGCAGTTGAACGGCCTTCTTTGGATGCAATATGCCTGCAGTGTACGTGCGCATCCCGATGAGTGTTTCATTTCTTGACTATCCTATTAAACAGCTCGGGTTCAATGTCCATAATGCATACAATGTAATTAGCCGTAGTTCCAATTATTCAGTTAAAATGTCTGGTTTGGTGCATACAGTGTCTGTGGAGATTACAATTTGAAAAATAAACTGTTTAAGCACGGTCCGACCGCTAAAGACAACATCAAGTCGCCTACAGCAAACAGGTGGAGGTTTTAGCCAGGTGACACAGCATCAGTAGCTAGCAAACAGTTTTTAGGAATGTTCTTCTTATAGTCCCGAATCGGGTGTTTTCGGAAATATTTGAAACACAGGAAATCCCACAGCACACTTCCGAGCATTGACTCATCAGCCCCACCGCTTGGATAATTCGATTTCTACATCAGATGTGATAGATGCAAGGCCAACGTATACAGATATCAAGTTATATTTACATTCTGTGTTGCATTTGCCTATATGTCGTTAGTAAACCAAATTCCAGTATTTGAGACTATATACTGAAATATACAGTGATTCGGTCTGTGTAGAAACATACATGGCCACCAGATACTTTCGGTATCAATTTGCCTATAGTCAGAGAACTTTCTGGATTCGATAGCATTTAGCAATGTAGATCATCGCAAAAAAATAAAGCAACTGGACAAATTATGACAATATAAATTTATTATAAGATGTGTAAGTACCACAAAATTATTGTAAGCACCATTCTAGATACGAAATTACCAAGTTTGTCAACGTCATCACACATGGGCTCGGTTTGGAGATTTTGAGTTATGCATAACATCAGTGAATAACCATAACACTAAAATTCAGCATTTATAAAACCTTGAAAAAGTCGAGGGCATCTTCAATGATGTCAGCCATTACTCAAAATCACGAAACCGAGCCCCTGTGAACGTCGTCTGATAGCGATGCTAATCTGACCGATTAGACATGGAATCTGTTTCAAACGAAATTTCCTCGGAATCGTTTTCACCTACTGAAAGGACCACTTTAATTATAAATTTCCTTAAAATAATGTTATATTCCAGTCGATGGAAACATAAGCGTTTCCGAGGAAACAATCAAGTCCGTTCAGCGCCGCATTACTTCCAAATACATGTAATCTATCATTGCGCGAAAAATAGCTTTAATTTTAAACAAGCAGAAGTTATGCAATTATTAACAATTTTTCAACATATACACACTGATATGAAATAAATAGTAAAGTTGAGTTTGTGCGTGTGGTTTGCAGTGACACGAGGGACTATATTATTTCATTTGAACTTACTGACGTCACTGATGTGATAAGCGGGAAATTCAAACGTATTCTTGTTTCAGTTACTATACAAAACAAACTATATAAATGTAAATATAAGCATTGAACTGTTATCAGATGCAGTATACAGTTGATATGAATGCAATTTGAGTGACATATCAATATTCATGTCGCCCTAACGGGCGACATTATATGTATCTGTCACCCAAATTGCATTCACATCGACTGTATACTGCATCTGGTAACAGTTCAATGCTTAAATGTTCCCTCAAGACTCGGGGCCCGAGGGGTAATAATTTGTCTAGAATGTCTAATCTTCTTATCTCTCTCGCAAGAGGGCAGTGCGCGTTTCTATTTCGACAATAAATGTATGGTCATATCAAGATAATTGTTCATGTTAAGAAATACAAATAATGCATCGTGTCTTTTATTCACCAGACAGAAACGTCCGTGTCGTTTGGAGTACTTCTGGGTTGTACCGTGGTCTACGATATGCTTTGAAAGAGGCTCGAAAATGATGCAAAATGACCCAGGGAAACAATAGCACAATTTCAGCACGTGCCGTTTTCTCGGTCAATGTTAAACGTCCATGCTAAATATAACAAATCATCCAATTTGATGCTTTTTTTTCAAAGATTAAATCTTCACGGCCCATATGAGCAAGGCATGTCAAACCTGACAAAATGACATCACAGAGACCAATATCGACCTAATGACCTGGCCTTCAGTTCTTTGTTTCTGCATTCCTCTGCTTCTAACACTTACGTTTTGTGGTGTTTCACCAGGGACCACCATCATGTACGACCCTATATAAAAAAAAAAAGAAGAAGAAAGGAGGCCACATTAAGGAACACTAATATTACTGATACTATTTCGAGGTTCTTATATACCGCTTTATCACAACCTAGCTAGTAGGGCGTCTCAAAGCGGTACACAAAATACTCATTTGCAGCTGAGTAGACTGGAACAGGCGGAGTAAAGTATCTTGCTCAAAGGTACAACACAGTGCCGTACTGTGACTCGAACTTTTATGGAAATGACTTACTGACAGTCTAACAACCAGGATCCAGGTAACGGATCCTACATGCTTGAATTTATCTAAATTGGATTATAAAGAATGTAAATTAATTGTTTATTGCAATAATTTTGTTGTTCAGTATATTCTGTTTACGCTCAATGTCCTTACATTTTGCAGTTTTTTCACTCGATCATTGTCCCACAGCTCGCAAATGTACATTTTTAACGTAATCTCCTGAGAGAGAGAAGGAACATAACATGATTTACATAAAATAACATTTATACTAATCGTCATTTTTTTTTTACAAATATGTCTTTTAACAATGTACCGTAAAATAGTAACCGTCTTCTTGATTAAAGCGTTAATTGAAGCCCCCCACCCCCCTTTGAATAATAGTTATTACTTCTCGAGACTGCTACGGAGCCATATGTCACAATGCTGTTTTTTTATCACAAATATAAATTATTAGATAATATTTCGTACATCTTCATTGTTTTAGAGATATCTTTTTATGAAAGGGTGAATTCGTGATATTTCACTTGTAAAATGTAATAAAATCGGTACCGTAAGGTTAAGTATCATATTTTTGTAGACAGTATGCGGCCTCAGTTTCAAAGAAGGCTTTCACGCATCGGAAAACACCGGATGTGGTCAAAGTGTTTACAGATCGAACCCCGGTGGCGCTTGGCGCCGCTTGGGGGTTCGAAATAAAAAAAACAAAAACATTCACAATAGCGGGCACTCTCGACCGATCGCGAAGCAATCGGCGGAGCAGTGCGAGCCGTGAAGGCAACACATGTACGAAAAGTACAGGGTCGCAAGAAACGGTTGATGTTCTTTTTTTGCACAAACAATTACTTTGACATTTTTAATAAGTACATGGTATTTTTGTCATATCTCCTGCAGATTTTTATGTCATGTTACAATTCTTAAACTTTTTACAAGTTGATGTTCCTCATGAAATCCTTCGATGTCCTACATATTATTTTGATATTTAAATTATTCTTGAACTAAAAACAATGTCTATGTTGTACTAGCGCTTGGTTATTGTACCTAGCTTCGAAATTACATCAGTTAATATTGATAAGTGCGTATTAATAGAATCTATCGCTACTGGTTGTGTACGATAGAGAAATCTCAACCCGAGGTCTAAGACTTTTTGTCCATAACGAGGCTTGCCGAGTTCTGGACAAAAAATCTTTGTCCGAGGGTTGAGATTTCACTATCTTACACAACCAGTAGCGATTGATTATTTTTCTCCCATATCTAACAGTATTTTAATGTGAAATAAAGGTAAACATGGACCCAAAACACATACAGGCAATTTGGCGTATTAATATCCATATAGGTTCTACTTTCTCCCCAACTTCATGTTGTCTGCTGAAACTGTGAAAGTACAACTTCTGTTGTTGACAACATCATGAAAAAAAGTGTTTAAACTTGCAGACAGAGTCACAAAAGGAGCAAATGGGTCAAAAGGGAAAATTGTGGACATTGTAAAACCTTTTGGAACTTATGTAATGTACAAAATTCAGCTGTTCCAGGATGGTAAAATAGAAACTGCTGCCAAACATGAACTTGTGAAAGGCATGCCAGATGAAGAGTTTGGCTTTTTGTTTGATGAACCCATGCATATGGATGCAACTGAGTCTGAATTCAGTACAAATGAAAATGTGTGTGTGCCCCAACCACCTCTCATCCCCCAACCACCTATCATCCCCCAAACACCGACTGCTGTACGAGCCCCTCCAAAAACTGCCTCCTGTACTATGACAAGATTTGTGTCGGTCGATGATGACGAGGTTGACAAATTTGTTCACAACAATGAGAACAACAATACTAGGAAAAAAACATTGTGTCACATGAAATTATCAAAAACATTTCTGTCTGAAAATGGAGAAATGAGGGAAACCCACAATATACCTCCAATGGAACTGGATACACATTTGTCCAAATTCATGATAGGCGTCCGGCAAAAAAATGGTAACAATTATCAACCAAGTGTTTTACGAGGGATGCTGGGGTCCTTTGAGCGATATCTCAAAAGACACAGGTATGGCACTAGTCTCGTCTCAGGATATGAATTTTCCAAAACACGTGAAGTAATGCGGGCTAAACAAAAGGAGTTGAAAAGGCAGGGCATGGGTAACAAGCCTTTTGCAGCAGATGCCATCACTAACAGTGACATTGATTTGTTATACAAAACTAAACAACTGGGCTGTTCCACACCTGCATCGTTGATAAATACACTGTGGATGAACAACACTACACATTTCGGAATGAGAGGTGGTGGGGAAGAACACAGGGCACTGTGCTGGGGTGACATCCAACTCCATTATGACAATGACTTGTGTTTAGAATATATTGTTCATAACGAAAGGCAAACCAAAACACGCACAGGTGAAGACACGAATAATACACGAAACGGTCAACCAAGAATGTATGAAACCCCCAACAACAAAGAACGGTGCCCTGTTACAGCGTATAAACAATACAGCGACAAACGTCCATCAAACTTTTCCGCACCCCAGCATCCATTTTATTTAGCGACGATTACTCATGTCAACAACCCTACCCTTGATGATCGATGGTTTATTCGAGGACCCATCGGTCGCAACAAAATTGGCCAACTGTAAAAAACCCTGGCAAAAAAGGCTGAACTTCCAGGGGTCGACGACAACAAACGCCTAACAAATACCAGCGCACGTAAACATTTGTGTCAGACACTTTTGGAGAACGATATTCCCGACACACAAGCTGTCATGTTTACCGGACACAAAAATATTCAGTCACTGAACAATAATCGCGTCATTACGAACAAAAAACAGCACGAAATTTTCGACTTTGTTGACGAATGCATCAACGACAACAATTGCAGAAACGCATTCACAATCGCTTACCACGTTTAGCTCGTCTGCCTCGAGCAACCGTCCCGCGATGGCGGCTGACAAAACGTCCAACATGTCCACGTGTGCATCCTCGATAGAGTCAATTTTCCACAATTCCAGCATTTACGGTGGAACATTCAATTTACACGTCCATGATAATTCCAATGATGGAAACAAACAATATCCTCGAGCTCGGAGGGCTATCATCTATAGCGACAGTGATGAAGAATGACTTACATAACTTGACACATCTCTTCATCGTGTTTGTTGACAACGTAATGGCGTCAATCGACTTTCCGGCGGAAAACGAACTCTCGAACGAACATCACGTATTGAATAGACAAAGAAAGTTATTTACCGTTAAAACATATTTTAGTGTAAAACATATAAGGAAATTGTTAGTAAATTCATTAAAAATATTTTCCGTTTGTTAGAACTATTTTTTCATGCGGACTGTTACATTTGTTTACAGTGAAGTTCATTACAACATTCCAATGACGTCACAGCGCGTGCAGGCTGTCTCAGCCCGAGGGCGGAGACAGATAAATCTAGCACCGGCAAAACGGGAGATAAATCTGTCAGGTGTGGGAGATATATATATATATATACCAGCCATACATGTTTTTGCTGTTAGTGCCATTCACAACATGTACATGTAGTGACGCGACTGTGACGTCATTAATAACACGCGTCATCGTAGTGTTTACAACACATTCCAACTAGAACTTTCTGCAGCTATATCACATCTTTTAGAATATTTTGATTTAGTTACTTCTTATCCCTACAGTTCATTGCACATTTTGTTATTTGTTACTACACTGTAGGCAGAGACACATAATGGATGTCTTTGATGTATTGTACGTATTTCATGCATTTATGTTACTTTCAAAAAGATTCTTCTGAAGTCATTTTAACACATTTATCAAAAACAAAGAAATGTTCTTTCTGAATTTTTAACAAACACAAGTTTTTGAAAGTCATTCATTTTGTTATGATATACGGATTTATTACATACTTAAGGTTTGAAATGCACCTTTTTAACAATTATGAAGGTATGCATCACAGTTCCGTTTAAACATATTGTGTTGCATACCCTCATAAATGAAAACAACATTAATTGAACAGCCTTTTTCGCAGGAAAGATGATGCGTTGTCAACGGTGACGAAATACACAGTTGAACAATAAACAAATAGTTCCACTTTGCATATTTTTTAATAATCTAATTTACATTACCAGCATGTTTAACAAGGTTTGATTATCTTAAAAATTGACAGTAGATCTAAATTTAAAACAAAAATACTATGTAAAATATTTTAGTTGCAAATAGTCGGAATTTGATTAGAAACCAGAAGACGATTTAAAAGATGCTGTGGGCTATATGCTTGTGTCGATCGACTGTGTCAAAATGATACATCGTTCGTTTGAGCATTCGGCATGCATTACTATCGATGAGGGGAATGGCCGACGAGCCGGGACGATTTCACCTGCTTCGCCACTTGCAACGGACGCTAGTGTAGATTCTAGAGGACAGTGAATTATTCTGTTCTGTTGAAAAGGACCTGTTATAAGATCTTATAGCAGACACGCTTCTGTGGCCCAGCATAAACTTATTGTGCCTTTATTCAAAACCACAATTATTCCATATTCTAGGGACACGTCCACGACGTCGTTGTCAGACATAGCCTATTGGCTGGAGCACAGGGGTTCGTTACAAATGTCTGTGTCTGGAGTTAGCACACTACGGGTTTTTGACGCTGAATACGCGGACTTAAATTTCAGGGTGATTTCTTGTTGATAATATAAAAAAAAAGATTATTAAAATATATTTACATGTATTTTAACCGTTGATAAACAATCTTGTTTTGTTTTTGGTTTGTTTGTGTTTGTGTGTGTTGGGGGTCAGAGGTCATGCAACGGTACATGTAGTACTGTTAATATTACTACACACTTGCTTTTATTGAATCATGCAAACATTTTTAGTTGGTACCGTTATCTAGTGGCACTGCAACACAAATGTAAATATTCATTAATATATACGTTTTTTGTGTATATGCGATACGACACAATTGCTCTAACCCGTATCTGACCCCGGCGTATCCCTTCCCAAAACCCGTATCAGCCCTCTCCGTATCAGCCCGCAAAACCCGTATCTTTGAAAAAAATCGTTTTCCTCGGGCTGATGTTATTATGGAAAAAGGCATGTAATATTCTCTATTTATTACAATATCAAATGCCATACTGTCCAGAATACCTTTAATAATTTGGCTGAAGTTGCCCCTATCAACCCAATATAGGACACATTTTGAAAGAAAATCCCACAGACTGACACGGGTTGGGGGAGGGTTGGGGGAGCTTTAGCTATCCCCCGCTTCTCCATTTTGAGCCGGAAAGGATCAGTTTGACACCCTCAAGGGAGATAGCCTTGTGCAGAATGTAACAGAAGAGCAGACGTTGGAAAACAACTCTGGATTTGCTGGAAAACATGCAATCAACGCTTAATGGCGGATTTGTGACTAAAACTTCAATACAAGTGGCCCTAATTTAGCCCGGTCTCCCCTAATTTTATGTCTGTCATAAAAGCTCATTAGGGCTGGCGATTTGTTGTTATTTCTCGACTTGACGACTTTAAATAAAGCTTATCTTATTCGGAATAAGGATTAGTTTGGTTTGGTTTGGTTTAATATTGTATAACGTCCTATCAAGAGCTATGGTCATGTAAGGACGGCCTCCCCTGTGTGTAAGATGCATGTGTGTAGTGTATGCGTGTGTTTTCTGGAGGCTGCGATATGTTCGTGTTTTTTTCCTTGTGGTAGCGCGGAACTGATGCCACTTTATAGTGCTACCTCACTGAAACATACTGCCGAAGAGCCGAAGACACCCAGCAGGACACCCCACCCGGTCACGCTATACTGACAACGGGCGAACCAGTCGTCCAACTCCTATATTGCTGAGCGTTAAGCAGGAGCAGAAACTACCATTTTTACAGACTTTGGTATGTCTTGGCCAGGGAACAAAACCGAAAGCCTTCCTCACAGGGGCGAACGCTCAACTTAAGGCAAAAAAGGAAGCATTGTCAAGGGAGACATAGAAAGAAGAATTAAGTTATTCAGAAAGAACAGAAAAAATCAGATCCCAATTTTAGTCGCCTTTTGCGATCATGTAATGGGGGCAGCGGGTACAATTATTACGCGCTACCTGCAGGGACTCGGAATAAGGAAATATCAGAGATTAACAAAAGCAACGCATTTGTTCAGGCTTTGCCATTTAGGGGACAACCCTGCTGAATTTTGAAAGGACCTGTTACAGGAACAAAAGAATTTTGCCCACAAAGCAATTTAACCATTACTGGGTTATATTTGTAGCTCCCTAAGACACGACCCATGAGATATTTTTAAGAAATTAAACAGGTCCAAAAAACTATCAAAACAATGTTTTACGCTATCAAATAATATTATATTGTTTAAAGTAGGATCTGCTACAAATTATGAACTCAAATATGTTACAAAAAATTGCCTAATATTTTTTTTATAAAATCTTAAACTCTAAAAATGTTGGTATTTTCATACACTTTTTTGCTACATCAATTGCTTTACGGAAGTAAAACACCAATTTCCGGTTCTTGTACACCAAAAATATTTTAATATTATTTGGTGCATTATGTTGAGATACGACAGTGAAAATTTCAGAAAATTTGAGAACCGGTAAATTTGTCATATACATGTCAATTTGTAGCAACGTCTATTTCCAAATAAAATCCAACAACCTTATGATCTATAGTCATGTTTGATAATTTAACAATATGTCGCACCAATTTATTATCGCAACTGATCAAATTTTCATCAATAAGATCTGCTGCTCATGATGAGCCCAATTATAAAGCTAGATGTTGCAAAATAGAAAAGTTATGCAGTCTCACACACATAAAAGTTTAGTATGTTATGTACATTTTTAGTTGTTTCGCATCTGTATGGAGTTGATAGACATATTTCCGGTTTTTGTACCCCAACACACTTTGGATATTATTTGGCACATTATGTTGACTGACGATAGTAGAAATTTCGAAAAAATCGGTATGCGGTAAATGTGTCATTTTAAGAATAATATGTGTATGACCAATGTCAAAATAAACTTCAATAACTTCAGGTTAATGCAAGTATTTCATAATTAACCCAAAATCATTCCAATATACTATCATGGTGGATGATATGGTTCATAGTAGATTATGACTGTTTAACTAAACTAGGTAGTTAAAAGGGGGAATACAGCAAAAATTAGGCAATTTGTCAGAACATTTGGTGTACCAGTATAATATGTTGAAGATATGTTAACCCCTCACTTTGTTTCTTTTTAGGAGAGTTATAGTTTCCAATTCATGGATTGTTGGATTTACTGTTGTTGTTTTTTAATTTGACAACACGTAGTCAAAATTGAACATTCAATTTTTTTTCTGAATTTCTCCTTTCTCAGTTCAATCTTAGGTCTTATTATTTTTTCATATTATTCCCGACAAGTAATTGGCCAGAAGTGCATCAAGTTTCCACCGATAAAAACTGATATTGACTTGGAGCGCATGATTTCTGTTGAAGGACTGGGTGTTTCTAAAAATAGAATTATGATGTGTCTCCAAACAATGCACCGTCCCACTTCCGAAGCTTTTTTTCCCCAGATTACTAACATTACTGTTTTGTAAAATAATAAAACAATTGAAGCCTTCAACTTCGGTTAATAACTGGATTTATCAACCTGA